CCTCTTCTCAATTTTGAGCTTTTAGGGATTTTAATTTTTGGGAGCTTTTTTGTTGTAATTTGGTTATAAATACACGTAGAGACGTGAAACTTAGTAATAATACTTATATTGGAATTTTTAATATTTTTAAAATTATCGGACGATTATTTTTTTTTTTTAATAAGCGTTTTGAAATTAAATTTAAACGAAAATCGCAAAAAAAATTACGACACTTCAAATTATGTATTATACCGAACTGCGCTCGAAATCGTCTTTTGTCAAGTAATGGTTTATCGTTGCTTACAATAAATGAAAATAACCTTATCTATCCTACCTTTCTAACTTATCATCTACAACATTGGCCGCTCCCATTCTCAGAATCAGTTCATTTTTATTATTAAGTGTTGTTTTATCAAGAATATAAATACTTATTTAATTTTATTATTCTGTACCAGGTGATTCATTTAAGTGAGTACACTCATTATTTCGGGAAGTATAAATTTTTTTCGGAATTTTGTTTCTAGAATATTCAAGAAACAAGCAGCTCTACAGTTTTATATTTATATTATTTTTTGTCACCATTATTTTTGGGGCTAAAACCACTACCACTTATAATTTTAAAATGACAACCTATATTAAAAAGTCGATAAATAGATGGAGTATTAGTTAAATTCAATTTTAGTGTTGATATTTTTGATTTCTGTTGATCCGTTGACGAGATATTCCACTTTTAAGTTTAGGTTGGAGAAAAGTAGTGGAGTGTCATTTGTGTGGCGGTACGGTACGTGGTGTGTTAATAATGCACCACTACTCTCCTCCAATTTAAAATTAAAAGTGGAATATCTCGTAAACGACTGTACAGACATCAAAAATTACAACCCTAAAATTTATTTTAAATAATACTCCTTTTATTTATGGACTCTTTGATATAAAATGGCATTTGAAAATCAAAAGTAGGTAGTGGTTTAAGCCCAAAAATATAGGTGACAAAAATTAATCTAAATATAAAATTGTACAGCTGATTATTTCTTGAATGTTCTAGAAAACTAATTCCGAAAAAAATGAATACTTTTCGAGACAATGAGTGTATTCACTCAATTCAATCACCCGGAATTTGTACAGAATAATATTGGAATAATACCACGGAGATAAAATTTCCTCTTAGAGAATAAGCTACACTTGATACATCAGAGCAAGATTTTCGGTAGAAAAGTTTGCACAACAAATCGATGGGTATTTTTCGATTAAAATAGTCCGAGAGAGCGATAGCTGGATCTCTAGGTACACCTAAAATGTTTGTTTTTCCTTGTTTAGATTAAATGGAAAATTAAGTGCAAAACCTTTTTTTTCAAATTACGGGTTTGAACTCACGATCCCTGGTATGACAATAGGTATATATAACCATTTCGCTATGACAAACATATTAAAGAACACAATATAGAATTATTTAAAATAACATATAATATCCGCATAATATCAGAACTTCGAAACTTAGACAGTTCACTCAAATCAGTTCTTCTTAAATCAATAAAAGTTACGTACAAAACTCGCAAAATTAAAATATCTATAAATAGCTCAAAAATAGCTTAAATTGTTTGAACATTTTACCACGTCTAAAAAATATAAGTTAAGCAAACATAATTTTTCTGTCCAAATTTCTAGGCTCCATGAATACTTTTAACTGAATTACAACAAAACAAATAACAAAATTGACAAATGATAAAAGCATTATTTTTGTAAATTTCCCGTTTTTTTAACGTTTTATCCTGCTTTTTCCCAGATATTATGAAAACCGTATAGAAAATCAAATAATCTTTTTCGGAATTTGCTTCATACAATAATTAAGAAACAAGCAGTTTTAAAATTTTACATATATGTTGTTTGTTGTCACCCTTATTTTGGGTGTAAATTTTCAAATAATAATTTATATTAAAAATTCCATAAATAAATGACGTATTAATTCAAATAATTTTTGGTGTTGAAATTTTTGATTTTCGTCAATCCATTGACGATATGTTCCACTTTTAAGTTTGGATTGGGAAAAGTAGTGGAGCATCATTTGTGTGGCAGTACAGCTCGCGACGTTTTAATAATTACGCCTTAAAAATTATAACCAAATGTAATTTTTCAAATTATCAAATTATCAAAAAAATATGTAGTCTTGATTGTATCATAAGTATTTTAATAATACTTGAAATATTACAAAACCATATACTTCTCCTCGATAAATTAGGCATACTATTTTACATACACACCTTATTCCGTCTTTAATTGTTTTTTTAAGGTTATCTCCGCTACTGCAAAGTTCTGAAATAAAATACAACAATTTTTAACAATTAGTCGTGTTTCAGCGAGAAAAAATCCATTTTTAATTAATTGTAGTTTCTATTTTTGGACTACGAGGGCTAATCAAAAAGTATCGAGACTGATAATATTACTCGGAAACCGAGCGTTGAAGAGCAAAACGATTTGTAAACCTAGCTTCTATGACTTATACTGAGCACATCTATTCGTATAAAATCTCTATAAACTTCTTCGTTTTGATTTGACGATATTTTTCTAAAATTTTTCACGTTTGGCGATTTAGTAATGAATCCAAAGGAAGCGGAACTCGCTGCCAATCGAGGGCACATTTTCAGTTTTTCAATTGACATTTAATGGCAAAAACCATGAAATGTTGCATCCCTCTGAAACTGGAAAAAAATGCAGAACAATTTTTTAAAATCTCCAAATCTGTAAAGTTACTCTTCTTTTGGGTTTATTACAAAATCGCCAAACTCGAAAAATATATTTTACAAAAATATCAGTGAAATCAAACCGAAGAATTTTATAGAGAAGCAATAAAAACAAATGTATTCAGAAAAAGTCATAGGAGCAAGTGATACCAATCCTACTGCTCTTCGTTGCTCCTTTTCCGAATGATATTACCAGTCTTGATACTTTTTGATTAGCCCTCGTATATTTTATACACGCAAAAAAAAATTGACGTGTATACTTAAACCTATATAAAAATAACCTTATAATATTTATGCTTTATTCGTATTTATATTAAATAAACATGTATTATAAATGTATGTTGAAATTATATCAATTACAAACCTTACTACGCAGGGGTGGATTTAAATATGTGGTGGCCCGTGGGTGGAATATACTGCGGGGGCTCAAAATAAATAAACGCGTTAATACTGCATTTGTTGATTTTCTGTTTATTTATTTTACTTAATAATAAAATATAAAACATTTAAATCGGGTATAAGGTTTATAAATATAAATTGTCTAAACATTAGTGTAATTCCTCGTTCGTCGTTTACCGTCGTGTTACTAATAATTTAATTCTTGTCTCGATTTTAGAACACCTCTCATTTCACCGCATATTACATAGCACGTTAATAAAATAATAGGTCAAATATCAAAAGAAAAAAAAAATACTGTTATTTTTCTAATGAAAATTTAATTTGAAATTGGAAGTTCCGTATTTTATATATTTTAAAATTTAATAAATATTTTTTTTTATTATTACTAATCGTTAAATATTTACGAAAATATGGGGGACCTAAAATTGGCGGGACCCCTGGGCTGCAGTTCACTTATCTCCCCCCCCTTAAATCGGGATCTGCTACTACGATGTATTTTAGACGATTAAATAATCATTTTTACTATGTTTTTTCTCTCTGAAAACACCTTTCTGGTAGTAAAAATACTCTACTTTTTTCGCATCGTACATTAGCGGTACTTTGTTTGAAACATTTTTCTGGATTACCAACAGATTTTTTTAAACAATTTAAAAAAATTGTCGATGCATTCTTTTTTTTTTTTATTTTAATTTTGAGTCCATTCAAAATCATTTTTTGATCGCGTTGATTTATTGTTTTCAGTATAATATAAACTAAATTATTTTTTATTATCGAAACTTAATCCAGCTACAACAGTAGGTTATTTATGGTGCGAAGTATGTTATGCTCGTTTTTATATCATTGTTTAATTAATACTACTGTAGCTGGTTTTGAAATAAAAAAATGTTCCAGTACACTTTTGTTTTCCGGACTCGTAATTTGTGTACAAAGTATAAATAGATGACATACTTCTCACGTGGGTGGGCCACTCTTGTAGGTGAGAAGTTGGGAAGGTAGAGGGAAAATTTAATTTACATCTGTACGCATCGATTAACCATTTCTATCGAAAAACGATTCTGAGCAAAGTTCGGTTAATAGTGTTGTTTTGTCAATAATATATATTATGGTCAAATAATTAAATATGCATACATGTATACTCTTTAATGATTCATTTTCCAGATTTTTCCCATTTATTGGGGAAACTCCTGAGAAAATCATAAAATGATCTCCTTAAAGTACCTTGCCAATCATATTTCCTTTCAGAAAAAATGCTATCGTATAAATAGGAACGAAACTGCTGGTAGAAAAATTATCCACAGAAATAAAAAAAATATAAACATCATTTTAAAACCAATACATTCCTCGCTCTGCTTAGAATCTAAAATGAATATGATTTATAGTGCACTCTGTTCCAGAAACAAAATGATTAGAAACGAACGATTTAAACGGAGACGCACATAATCGTAATTACGGCGCTATCGCCGCGCACCGTAATTACGATTATCAGACTATACAGTAGTTATATATTATTACTTTTTTCTTTTTTTATTTTACACTTATCACTTACGTATTAATTATGTATCATAAATATCGATTATTACAATTATAACCCGTAGGTATACTTATTACTTATACACGTACATCCGCTGATCAGTTCACCCGGTGTTCACCCCGAAAATAAGGGTAGCCTGAGGCACACTAGGTATTACGTGTGTGCGCGCTACAGCCCGTAATTGTAAACCGTTACCAAACCATTTCCCGCCTCTAATCATGAGTATGTTCGCTTTCAGTCGTACCATTGTAATACCGCAGTGATATCGGTGCGACTATATTATTATGCAACACAATTACTATTACTTACTAAATAGACGCATGTGTCATCACGCTGACAGCGGCGGCGGCGCGTCGTCGAAGCCGATGAGATAACCGCGTGCATAGTCTACGAGATGATTTGCATACAATATCATTTAGAACGATCGACGTAGTGTGACACGACGTTACGCATATGAAAAAAAAAAAACAAATTAAACATTATTAGGAGCATAACCGTTTCAATAAATAATAATCGTCGGTCGAAATCCTTTCCGGACGTCGCCGACAACACATCATCAGCATGACCATATCGACCCCGTGTTTTTTCGGGCTGACCAACGTCCGGATAGGCACCCGCATCATAGCGTTCGTCCAGTTCGTAAGTATAATAATAATAATAATATACGCGCAATCGTTAAAAAAAAATTAATATTAAAAACATGAACAGCAGAGCTCCCTCACTAATCGAATTTCTCCCTCGGCTACTTGTTGCCGTTACAATATTTCATGTTTTTTTTTTTTTTTTTTTTAATCATTGTAATTGAACAAAAACATTTGTATCAAAATAAATAAAGTAGACAGTTAGATTTTTTCTAACATACAAACAGACGCAAAATCGTCGGTTAGAAATTCAAACATTTTAAAGACACATCCTGGACAAAAATTATATTTATAAATGTACATCTCCATCAAATTACTTACTTTCATGAATAAGAGTGTACAAAGCTAAAAAAAACACCCACTTCTTGCAACAACATTTCAAAATTTCAATATGAACTTCACCCAACATTTTATCACTTCAATCCGCTTATAAAAAAACTCAATTGATTCCCGAGTTTGGGCTCTTTTGGTCCAGATATCTTTTTTTTGAAGGAGTAGGCTCATCCAGTTCTCCAGCAGCTTCTGCCGCACACATAACTTTCAAAAATGTTTTATCGGACTTAGTTAAATACTCCAACCGACCTTACGATACACATTCAAGATTGAAATTAATCTAGTTTCTCATTCTAATTTCACTCCGAGTTCCCAAGCTTAGAGCAAAATATATTAGAACATTTTAAAAATTGTTCGCATTAGTTTGCAGTGCTTTAAATCCGCCATTGTGCGTACATATTTAAAAACAACGTAGGTATTCCGCTGAAAATAAACACCTAAAGTACTCGAATTGCCGCGGTTTTCGGACAAACCGCGCAATGAAAAAATGTAATGTTCATTATAATATTATAGTTTTTTGTAATATTCCAGTGGCTTCAGTTGCTGTGCCTTTCGATAATTATCACAAATGTTGTAATTCAAGACCCGTTGCAGGAAAAAAATCCTAAAGAAACTGTCAATACCAGTCATTACAGTCCTCAAACGATCAGTGAGTTTAATCAAAATTGTGTTACCATAATAAAATGTAATTCCCGTCGTTATTTGAATTCGACGATAAAATATATTTTTTTGTGTCCGAATATCTATAATCCCGCAACAGCAGATAGAAAAACACGATTTGCTTACCCGACGAATCGGAATAAAGAATACCTCTTACTGCAAAGTTTTTGGTGGTGGTGGCAGTATTTCCCATAAGAATACGCCTTGGTTCCGATTGCACTACCAATACCACTGCAGTCTGTAATTCACGTATATAGATTGGATACACATAGGCGTGCGCGGAGGGTATGCAGAATTTTACCAAATATAAAAAAAAAACTGTCTTAGGATAATGGGGACGGGTGCAGCCAGTATTGTAAGTGGGAAGATGGAAAGTTGGGAAGATAGGATATAGATGGGAATTCAATGTATATCAATGATAAACCATTGTTAACGAAAAAACTATTCTGAGCGGAGTTCAGTTGATAGTGATGCTTTATCAACAATATACATATATGTCATATTATGGTAAATTAATTACATATTTATGAAACATTTTTTTTAATAACATTTGTTTAATATTGTGCCTATATTCCCGTTTTCCTAAATTTTTTTCCGGTTTTCCATGTTTTTTCACGGTTTTTCCCATTTATTGGGAAAACTTCTAGGAAAATCAAAAAATGATCTCCCTAAAGTACCAGCCCAATCTGATTTCTTTTTAGAAAAAGTTCTATCATTTTAAATCGAAGCAAAATAGCTGGCAGAAAAGTTGTCCACAGAAAAAAAATAAACATCATTGTAAAACCAATGCTCGCTCCATTCAGAATCTAAAAAATTGTAACAATATTGGTTAAACGCTGGTAGTGATGACCGTGACGTGACATTCAACCAAATGTTTATTATTGAATTTTCGTGCGATAGATTCAGTATTGTACATCGCACACGGACAAATAGACAAGCATACAGTTTCTGTTATTAGTTTAGATTATGTATGTGTAGTGTTTACCTCTCTTTTTGCCTACGTTTTTAACAAATAATAGTAAACATTAAAAAAACTCTGATTTAGGTTTACAAAGTTAGATAATTGAATTTACTGTAAAACCCGATCTATTATAACAATTATTATACATTACCAGTTGATCCAAGCAAGGAAATTGGCCAAGGAACAGGGAATCGACTTTTTTTCTTTTTTTTAATTCTTAGTGGAGACAGATAATAATATTCCCAAATCAGGTATTTTTTTAAGATAAAAAAAATAATTATTATTTATTACAGATTATAAAGCCATTCAGTCCGATTATTATGTGTTCCTTCAAATAGCCTCTGGTTTGGTGAACTTGTACGCTTGTTTCTATTTAAAAAAAGCCACGTACTCGGTAAGCATAACATCAATATATTATATTTTATTTTCGCGCGAATCGACGTCAATCAATAATCACATATTAATGATAATCATTATAGCCTACGGATTTTATTGTTACCTAAAATATTCGATTTTATAATACACGGATGGACGTAGATTTCGAAGAGATTAAATTAAAAGTTATATTTTATAAATTATACGCGTCTTGATGCTGTAAACAGTTTACTGATTTTGTTTATCGCGGTTAGTAAATGACAATTTTATAAAAGAGGTATTATATTATTATATGAAGAGAACATTACACCCGCATGTGCTGTCTCTTCGTCTTACAACTGCGTGGCATAGTTAATTTTCGTTCAATAGGAACAACGTTGTGCTGTTAGTTTTAATATAAGAGTTTTTTTTTTTTTTTTTTTTTTTATAGACGGTTGTTTAATACGGTTTTAATTTTTATGGTCAAAAGTTAAAATTACAAAATTCAAAATAATAACACGGCACAGATAATATACTTGTTTTTAAGTTTTATAATAGGACAATTCACTCTTATATTAAAACTAACTGCACAGAGTTGTCCCTGTTGAACGTCAATTTTCTATGGCACGCAGTTGTAAGACGGTGACCGCATATATGGGTACAACGTACTTTTAAATGTTAATTTTGCTATCATAAAACTAAGTGTTATACCAGATTTAGTACACATCTAGATTTCAAAAAGGCCGTGTGATTAATGTAACTTAATAATTTATTTACTGAATCCGCATGAAAATAAATTAAAAATATAATTTTACATTGTATGTATTTCTAATAAAATATTACATAAATTACGGATCAAATATATTTATCTTAGACAACAACTCGGGCGTAATTTGTTTCCTGTGTATCAATCTGTATAGATGAGATAAACGATGCAGCACACCATTGATTAAATTTATTTGCCCAGCGTTAATCATATAAATTAGATAATATAATGTACACTAATAATGCTAAACTTAAAAAACATAAATAATTATAAATGTATAGTATTCGAAGCGTATGTCCACAAAAAAAAAAACTATTACCGATATTTTACGAATATTTTAATTCCCCGCGTTAGCGAAATAGTCACGTCTTCAGTTTACAGATAAAATGCAAAAAAAAAATGTGTTCGTTATTCGTATCATTACGTGCGGATGACGACCATAGTAACACTTCGTTGCAGATGTTGCAGTTAAATTGCACGGAAATTTAAACTTTGAAAACCCGCAAGACGTCACGGGGTTAACGTCTCAGGAAAGTGATGTTTTTGGCCACATATTATTATATAATATTTTACTCTTTATGCACACGTCTTCTACCGCAAATACTTATATGCCGTCATCTTTTTTTTTCTAGTATAATATGGTTAATAATAATATCAAATCACGTTTCACTCGTTCAAAAAAAAAATTATGAATATTCTCGAACCCGGAGCAGCCCACTTGCGCCCGTTACACATTTTTTATAGCCCATTTGCGCCCGAAATATTTTTAATAAAAAAGCGTTGAAACCGTGCAACGTAGCCGACCTGTATGCCGGAATACGATACAATACTATTGCGGACTAACCTTTTTTAGGTTTTACATTACACCCTTATAGATGCATTGGTCGATTTTATCTTAATAATATTGCACTTCACGACAATTCTCTCTGTGAATGCGTTGTGCAACGTTACACCTAACCTAACCTATAGTATTAAGACGATTATTATTAAAGTACTAAAATCTACTTATCTACTTTTTTAGCGTATCTATTTTCTTTTTTTAAGATCGATTTTTTTTTTTTTTTTACTTTTCGTATAAACCTCACATGTATCGTATGATACGTAATTTCAACATAAGTATATACATGCAACGATCATGACGGCAACTTAGTACTTTTGCGAAATCGACGCATATGGGCTATACATACATCGGCAGTTGGAACCTTATCTTTCGAGCGTATCTGTCCACATCCTTCGGGGCGCAAATGACCTGTAGCCCTCAAACCATCAATCGATTATTTTCAACGGTAATATCATAAAATATATAAGAAACGTCAAATGACAAATAACTACGCCGATATCAAATTTCATTGATTTTAGTTAGATATCGATTTAAAAAATATTTTTCTACATCACTTAATATTATACAATAACATATACGTGTTTATCATTTTTTTCTAGTAAATATATTGCATTGTTTGAGCTAGTCGTTCATCTCTACTATATCGCAAATACAAATTTACGTGTGCTTAAACAAGATTTAATTCAATATTTGTTTATAATTTGTCATTCGACTCACCTTAGAACCTCGGAATGGTTTTTTTTTTTTTTTAATAGTAATTTGTCTTTTTCCGCGAAATATCTTTCGCATATTATGAAATTCGTGCAGTCATTCATGTTATTCTAGTTGTTTTAAATCAAATGGTATAACAATATGAGTAATTATATTATTGACTATTGTACAACTACTATTTTACAATTCATTATTGTAAGAATAATGAAGATAAGGTGGTAGGATAATAGGGTAATTCAGTTTCCATCTGTACGTAACAATAAATCATTGCAAACAAAAAACAATTCTGAGTAAATTACGGTTAAACATGTTATGATGAATTTAGTTTGTATATATTTGTAACACCACCATAAATTACAATGTATTTCGAGATTTTTAACAAAGATGTAGCTGGTTTTTCACTGCGACGATTTTTACTTTTTTCGACAATAACTTTTTTAACCATACAGTGTCGTTTGAGATAACGTTTGGGATTATTGTATATTACGGCTAAAACTACACATTTATAAAATAATTATAACACAAGACTAATATTATAATATTAACGTTATGTTTATTATTACTGGGTGTGTAATATTGTGTGAAATCAGTTTGAATATAAATGTGTACATTAGCTGAATAAAGCCGTTTTCTTAGATAATAATATTATGATAGTGTAAGCACTTGAAAATGTTAATTATATGATTTGATAAATATATTTTTTATTCGTGGATTCGCGGAATTTAAGGAAATGTGTCAAAATGTATACATTTCTAAAATATTCGTTGGGTTTTCGTTATAATATTCGTTGAAACGGTTTTCGGAAAATTAAAAAGAAAAAACATTTCAAATGTGTTTACCTGGTGGTTTTTTTTTTAAACATTTATAAATAATATATAAAGAAGCGAACATGATAATTGATGAAAATAATAATAAAAAAAGAGCTGATACTGAATACGTGTGTGCCACTGTTGTAGATGAAAAGTTAGGTAGGTAGGATTCATAAAATTATTTAATTTTTATCTGTAAACAAACTATAAACCTTTGTTAACAAAACACGATTTGGGGCGAAGTTCGGTTATACATGTTTTAAAAGGCCGTAATATTTACGATTTTCGTCAAAATTTGATATTAAAACTCGTATAAAAAAAAAATACTATCTATAGTTTTTTTATTGGAAAAATATTTCTAGTTGAAAACATACGAGTAGTTTGCAAAAATTAAAAACAATTAAATCGGCAACGCCGTGGCGTGTTGTAAATATTTGCCATTTCATAATTTAAATCGTAAAATTGAAAACATATAATTAAATTATACAAGTGATACTTTTATAATTGATCAGTTTGATTGGATTTGATCATTTGATAAAACATTTGAAATATTAGCGTTAATTGATTGCAAATATGAAATTATTTATAATCAATAGGAATATTAATAACAATAGGTATATAACAATTCACAAAATAAGAACATACTAACGATGTGACAATTAACAGTGTTACAGAACATTGTGAAATGTTTTCAATGATTTTAGGAATATGGTAACTAGTTACTTTTTGTTACTCATATATCGTTATTACAAATTTAAATTACCTTTACTTTTTCAGATAGTGTCCAGCTTTGTAAATTGTAATATTCTGTTTAAAATTTAAATCGTAAATAAATTATTCCCCGATAGATTAGCTGTTGTTATTATAGAACCATAGAATCAAAATTTAGTTATTTTTATATAATAATTTTTGATCAAAAGGTACAAAATGCAACAAAAAAGTCTCTTGTTTTTTTTTTGATTGAGTCAAGATTGCTGATATAAATGTTATTTATAGTAAAATCAATACATTGCACGCTTCGCTCGAAATTTAAGAAAAAAAAAAATAGCCAAAGGAAACAGCATATGCGTAACATGAAACTGATTATTAACGGTAATATTGATCGAACGACTTTTGGCCGAAAAAATATTATTGAAAATATTACTCGTAAACTGTTATACGTTATGGGAGGGGAATTCGTCCGGTGTACCGGATCGGTTTAATTATATATAAATTATTGCGTGTTGTTGTGTTCACTTTTCCAAGGTGTATTGCAGTCCTCTGATCTACGTACGTATCAAATGAAAATACCAGACCAACATATTTGTTGGTGTATGAAGGATTTGTATGCATAGGTACATGAACAAATTTACTCCCACCGAGCTTATCAGCTTATTTTATCGGATGCCATACCGCAGAAAATACGAACCGTTTCGAATGGCATTATAACAGCCGTGCCTTTGAAAAAGTCAAATTTCAGTGCAATCATTTATTTTCGATTTTTTTTTGTCGGTTTTTATCAGCTGACGGGATACCAACATAATAGTGTCATCATTTCACTAAATTTAGTCAATATAATTACGAATCTAAAATATTTACTGTTGAATGATTGAATAATTATATGTTATTAAATCAAAATCAATTATGTCGACGTCGTTATAAATATATTTTAATATACCTAACTAATATAACTAATATAACTATGTGTATATATACACACATATATATACACCTATAATTTTTTTTTTTTTTTAGCACAATTTACAATATATCAACTTTTGGATGATATTGGACTTTATTTATTATATTGTGGCGGTAGTATTTATTATATATTCTTCGTTCAAAGTCAGAAGTTTTTCAATATTTTTCGTGGGCTTAATCGGATCCGGTAAGATCAAATCGCTCCGTTAAATACTATACTTCTCTAAATTATACAGTGCGAATGAAAAAATAAAATTGTAATTAATTTTTTTTTCTTCCGATAAACTATAGCGTTTGACAGTTATAAGCTATTCGTCGTCTATCTGTTTTACTTGGACGAATTATCGCCGGAAAGACTCGATGTCGATCGAAATAATAGAACCCAGAACAGCGTATGTCATGCAATTACTAAAATACAATGGTTCATCTCCAAAATAGCGAAAATAAAAAACCCGAACACAAAATATTGAATACAAAACAGCGAAAATCATTTATTTGAAAAAATAAATAGCGAATAAAAAATTATAGAAAATATATAAAAATATAAATAAAAATATACGATAAAAATTATTATTTTTGTCGTGCGTATTTACTAATTTTTTAATCCGTTCAGCCATTCCCTGAACTTCTTTTTTCCCCTCATATTATTGTCATTCCAGATCGAGACTACTCATATCTAATTTCCTCCAAATTATGTTGTCTTTGGAGGCATTCAATACATTTCTGTTACATTATGTTATCTTAGATAGCCCATAATCCTGATCGTAATCTCGAATTGGATCCTAAAATATATCACTAAGAAAAAAAATTCTTAAAATGTTTCCCAACATAATATAATATAGTACACGTTCGGCGCGTGTTAAATATTTAGTAGACGAAAGTTGAAAAAAAAATCATGAAATGTTTGTACAAAACTTGAAATGATAGATTTTTCGTTCTATATTTTTTCGCTCATATTTGTATTCGCTTATTTTGTTTTCACTCTTTTGCTTTCGCACATATGCGTTCGCTCTTTTGCTTTTGCTCTATTGTTGTGATACCAAATACAATATATGTATACTGTATATCTATACAAGTTTTTGATTTTGTTTTATATAGATGCACAACGGAATTCAATCGTATCCTCATACTGTAGACATCGGGACGGATAATAATAGAATATAATACAAGAGCATTATCCGACATCATTTGGATCCGACGAATAATAATTTTTAAATCGCCGAATAAAGTCCAAGGAATTGCTTTAACATTTTACAGTCAAAGAACATATTATATATTTATACATTGGTGATAACTGAAAACAATACTATTATTGTACATAGATCGAAATAAGTGCCATATCATGTATAAATTGCGTTTAATCAGTTGAATTAATTATTTAATTTGCTATACTAAATTATTATACATTATAATAATGTGCGTACCTACGATTAAAAAACGACTATATAAATAATTAATTTTAAATAATAATAATAATAATAATAAAAAAAAAAAAGGCCATAACTATTATACCAATAACGAAATGTTTAATTAGTTATCAAAATACGAGTTCAACAACATTGAACTGTTTAAATATTTACAAATTGTATTTATAATTATGAAAACTAACATCAAATATTTAAATACAATAACGACATTAGATAAATGTTTAAAACACGTGAGTGATCTACTTGATTTGTACTTGATATTTTTTGTTAATAATACCATCAGCGTTGATTGATTTTTAGTTTTTGGATAAGTAACTGAGAAAAATAAATGTAAGTTCATTGTTTTTAAGCAACAATATTAAACATTACATACGAATTACAAATATACAATAATACACCGATATACTCTGCTAATATATTTCTGCCTTCTGGTATGTATTCATTTCAATATTTCATAGTTTCTAGTATAGAAAATTGAATGTCATCGTTATTGGCATCATTTACTGTACTATAATATAGTTCATTGACTTAAGAGAACGGTGTTTTTGATTTTGATGTGAAAAATAAGATTAGTTAAAAGGAAGCGTCAGGTATTTTATGTGACAAGAGGATTCCAATGAGACTTATTAAAGAGTAAATTCTATAAGACTTATGTACTCATTCCTTACCCTATTTCTCTCATCACTCAACTCATCCACCTACACATTATCAAATCTGCAACACTCATTATTTGTTCTATTGGTCTGCCTACCATCCAACACTCCGACCAAAACAACATAGCTGGTCTTACCGCACTCTTATAGAACTTACTCTTTAAATCTCATTGAAATCCTCGTGTCACATAAAATACCTGACGCTTCCCTCTACTTAATCCAATGTTTCACATCCTCGTCAAAGTCACCATTCTTTTGAATAAAAGTTCCTAGATGCATAAAACTTAAAACCTCACCTATTACGTCACTGCTTATTGTCATTCGGTGTTTTATTCTTTCAATCTCTTGTCCTGTGCCTCCAAATTCATACTCTATATACTATGTTTTACTTCTACTGATCTTTAGTTCCTCTCCTAAAGTGCTATTCTCTATTCCCACAATGCCTATTGTTAACTTCTTACAAATTTTCTCCTATCAAAACTTTCTGCAAACATCGCCTTTTATTTCCTTTTTAACTTCATCCGTTACAACAGAAAATAGGTAAAAGCTCAAAGTCAACCCCCGATCCACAACTACTCTATCCCCGAAATCCTCTACGAAACTTATACAAAATTGTATTTAAACATGTTGTGCCCCTGGGCATTAAATTCACGACACCCCACTTTAAACGCAATTTGTTACTATATTATTATAAATTATCGTGCCAAGAACACATTTTATGATAACATAATAATATAATTGACTAAATCAAATCTTATATAATTTGGTAAATTGCACTTTTTTCACAAATTTTAGATTTTTGTTACACAAGTGGCCTTCTGCTTGAACAGGTTTAAGTTTCCTAACTTAAATGTTTAAACACATATAAACCACATATAGATGACATTTCAAACGTATTTTAATGTACAATACATAATAATTTAGTTGTAGTTAAATACAATTTACAAAAAAATAGTACTACCTCCAGCAATTCAATATCAACAAATATACCATATCGGTCTACCTATATATTTCCCGGCTGGCATTGTTCGACCATACCATATATATTATTAATATAATGTTCACCGTTCGATTGCGTTTGACGTTATTGTTGTGCGTAATATAGAGGAAACGGATTGGATGGTTCAATAAAATTATACGATCTTTAATCCCTATACCAGTTGTGTACCGTGTGTTGCGCGCGGCTATAACGGTGTTTACGATTATACGGCATCGCAATAAACGCGATTTCGGTTTTCTAGCTATAATAGTGCAGGCTGTTTATAAAATCGAAATTTATCCACCAATAAAAGACGTGATAACAGTTATTTACAGCAGTGAGTTCTTATATACATTATGAACGAGAGGGTGTCCGCTCGAGTAGGTACTCTTCGGCAGCGAATCCATAACGCATATTTCCGGGGGCATCAAGAGGGATAGATGTTTGAATTGAAACGCAATCTAGACAAGAGAACTATTAATATGTGTAGAATTTACATCAACGACTACTATAATAAAGACATACACATAAATGTGAAAAAAATAACTGAAACCCATTGACCTTTAGAAGGTTTAAACTTCTAACTCCAGAACCCACTGTCTGTATGTTATGTTATTAAAAATCTCAAGACTATTACCTATTTTAATAAAACATTTTCATTATGCCAAAAAAATAAATAAAATATTCTAAGTGTAATAATATTCAACTAGGAGAAAATTTGACTCTAATGATTGAGCTCTGCTGCCCATCTGTATTACGTTAAAACTTAAAATATACATTTTAGGATATGTACATACAAAAAAATTAGAAAAATAAAATGTTTAGCTTTATATTACATTTTAAAATTATTGAAATTGATTTGTTCAATGTAAGTAATAATTCTATAAACATCATCGAGCCCACGGATTTAGTAATCATTACTAATCAATCAATATTATCGAAACATTAAATAAAAAGATGTTTATAATATTCATCATTTGACTTGAACATCAATTTCAATTAATTCCGTATTATGTTCGAGAAAACAAAAAAAAAATCAGTATTGAAATGAAAGTAGTAAATGTTCTATAACCATAAAATACTTGAAATACTCAGTACACGTAATTTCATAACATTTTTTTTTAAGATGAATACCTATTCCCATTGAAACAAATCACGAGTTTTGTATGAAATCATCAACAAAGTAGATTTTCAAAAACTGAACCATTTTACATATTTCACATAACGCGTACTTATTGATATTTTGGTTTTCAAAGGAACTTAATATCGTCTCGCTCGTCTCAGACATATTTCACTTTTTAAATTACATTATGTACTTTATCTTCCAATCTCGAATATCAAAATGAACAAGTCTAAAAAAAAGCATTATGATATCATCTCAATGGAAGTATATATTGGATATATTATAAAATTCAATTTTTTTGCCATCTATATCAAAATCAAATTTACCACTACGATTGCTCTCTAATAAATATGTATGTAAAAAATAGTAGACGACTATTGTAGGTGGGTTATTTGTTGGCATTTGAGAAGGTGTATATGTATAATATATACACCTTCCCCTATATGATATATATATCATATTTGATATTGGGTTCCGAATTAGTTCTTATTTGGACGTCCTATGTCGTTTTCAACTCGTCGCTACGATAGCACCTTATCTGTGTTTTATATTCTATTACTTTTCCGTTTCACATATCTGAAAATTGTGTTAAATGCCTTAAGAAACTGACGAAAAATGAAGATATAATTAAATGGGTGAAATGTAACAGTTTAGTTCACATTTAATATGCCAGCTACTCTAAGCAAAATTTTAAAAAGATGTCGAATAACACTAAAGCTAGATTTAACTGCTGTAGTTGCCAAACTACTTTAAAAAGTTTACCAAAATCTATTTATAATGTTATTACACCACAATCAGGAAAATGTATGGAAAAAAATATCGAAGAACTTATAAATTCTGTGGCTTTTATGAGCACATAGTTTGATATATTTAATAAAAAAATTGATAGTGTAATAAATGAGTTGAAAAATATTAAAATTTAAAATGAAAATATACGTTTATCAGAAGAAGTTTTCATTTTAAAATCAAAAATTGACGATATTGAAAAACAAAATCTTAGAATTACAGTAGATATAATAGGTATAATACCTATGACTAAAAATGAAAATTGTATTTCCATTGTTGAAGATATTAGTTTAAAAGCTAATACGGCTATAAATGTGCTGAAAGTTTACAGAGTTAACCATTTGGGATTAAAACAAAGTAAAATAGTATCGAAATTAGCGACAAATGGCATGAGAAAATATTTAATTCGTAATGTTAAAACTGCGAAGTTTATAGCTGTCATTTTGAGTAATAGTTGGCCAAAAGATAATGTATTTATCAATGAACGTGTTACAAAACTCATAAGATCTCTCTTTTCACACACTAGATCAGCCGCAAAAGAAAAAATTTATAAATTTATCTAGTTATCATATTGGTAAGAAAAGACAAAAATTCCAAAATACAAAAAAATTAAATCGTCAAAGGACCATGAAAATTTATAGTCAGTATTTTTTCTTAGCTTAACTCAGCTTTTAAGGGGTGCTGCAATATTGTAAAAATTAATTTAACCTAACATTTTCTATTGTATATTATTGTTGCAAATATATTATTATTATAGGCACTATATTATATTATACATGAGATTTTCTAAATTGTATATTATATTATAGTTTTGAGAGTTAAGAGTTTGTACAATGGCGTAGCTTGATGGTTTTTTGTGGGGGAACTATAGCCCTAACAAAATATTTTACATGAGTACATACATAGATAATATACATACTTTCTCGTGAGTTGCCACTTCCTTAACAAAAAACATTAAGTTATTTAGAGGGATTTTGGGAGTGCAACCATCTCAAGAACTTTTAACTTATTAATTTTGTATTTAATTATAGTCAACATATTCAATAAAATAGTAAGTAAAATAATACACAATAGATATATTTAGATATGCGGGTATGCCATTTACATAATGTACATAAATATATTTAAGTTCAAAATAATTCAATGCAAATAAAAATAAATACTTAGATACTGCATCGAGTAGCGTTATGAATTTATATGAAGGGGGGAAGTCTACGATGATTCGGGTACACAACATATTATATTCTAAGAATGTAAATAAAAAGAAAAAAAAAATTAAGGAACAAATAATAAAGAGGATTAAAAGAGCACATTTTAATATTTAATATAAATAAATAATATTAAGTATTATTATTATTATATTTAAGTTAGATATAAAATAAAAGAACATTTTAAATAGGAAATTGTAGTAATATCAAGTTTAAACGCCTACTTTTTTGGGCAAATAGATTAAGAATATCTTCTGAATCAATAATATTAGCTAAGGTTCTTTTTAATATGAAGTAACGATAGATTTTCAAATCTATCATTGGTCGTAGAATTTCTAAGCCATGTTTTTATGCGTCGCATTATCGAAAATGATCCCTAACATGAAGCAGAACTTACTGGGATATTAAACGCTACTCAGGGACAAACCGAAGTTGAGCCAAGGAGACGGTGCGACACCAACCCACTCAGCAATATTAGAATTTTAGTCGGCAATTGTCACTTGGTAAATTTGTTCGACTAAAATATATTAATATTCTGTATTCATACATATTTTAACTTGGTATTTCTGGGTGGCTATGCACAGTGTCGGGACAATTTAATGAGATTTGGTACAAGATAACTAAACCTACCTATCTCTTATTTTACATTTTTGGCAACGTACCGTTTCATGGTATCAATAATAATTCTTAACGGAAA